ATTCAACATACACCAGCCTAATCTCATTTATTACTTTGCTTAGCCTGAGTGGGTAAGGATCCTTTTTTTTTTTTTTTTAAGGGGAACAATTTAAATTGGATTTTTAAATCCATGCTATTAATTCTAACCTTCCATGGGGCCCAGGTTATTGGAAAATTCTAACATTGTTACAAGATCCTATCTCTCCCCTAACCCATTTCTTAAATGCTTTCTCATGTAGGATAGGGTGCAGGCTAGCAATGAAGTTAAAGAAGCTGAAAGACCCCACCAAAGATCCTGACACATGTACAGTGATGTCTGGAAACGAAGAGATGGGAGCCACCGGTCTCAGCACCCGCTGAAAGGCCTATCCCTGACACACTTTAAAGTTTATTGTGAGCAAACATCTCTTATTAAATGTAAACAGCATCTTACTGGAGGTCAGAGACTTGCTGCTACAGCATATCCCAAGGTAATACCACTTTAAGCTCCACATAAACTCTTAAGCAGTTTCTATCCTAAAACCTGACCGTAGGTGGTACAGTTTTTTACGATATGTTATAATAGTGCAATAAATCTGTTAGCTTAAAATCGAATCTCCGTGGCCTTTTAGAGAAATCATCATTAAATGCAGGGTCCTGTTAATGATGCCATCGAAGTGAAATTGTTTAATCTGCTAAGGGGGTGAAAGGTCACCAAATGAATTTTTTATAATACATCAACTTGACACGCAATAGGGAAAACTGTAATAGATAAAAGCAAAGGAAAAGGGCACTGTCTTCTTCTGATAGGTCAATAGCAGCCAAGAGAGTCACTCATCCACTTTCCTTTCACGATGGGGCTCCTTTTGCATTTAATATGGACACCCAATTAATACCTCAGCACCACAGACAACCTCATTTTAGGTGACTTATAGCAATTTCTCCCCCTTCCCTGAAATGAAAGTGATCACAATACATCATAGCATTGTGCGAATTAACGTTAATTGATTCAAGTTACCAAGCAATGATGGGCCACTTATATAATCTAGGCGTTATTGGGTGCTAGAAGGGATGGAGGGAAGATTAGATTCCAGTGTCCGTTGCTGTGACGACGGGAGTCACCTGACGCCTTGTTAGACAGTTGTAAGGTTCTATTGCTGGCCCCAGTGGGGTCGTCAGTAAACTGGAGTGATGTCCAAACATCATTATACGCTGCTCCAATATTAAAGCAAAGGGATTAGCAACTTATTGCAAGCAACCTGGATTTGTCATGGTGCTGTCGTTATCCAATTTCCAACTGCTAATGTGACTGTAGCCTGCAGGCAGAAGGACCTACAGCCAAACTTTAAAAAATGGGGGAGGAGAGTTCCCTCCAACCCTCCCAGTTGTAACTGCTATTTAACAGTTTCCAATACCAAGTCAGGTATGTGAAAGAATTTTTTTTCCCTTCAGTGCTTAAGTACCAGCTAAAAAATAAGTAAAGATCAAGAGAATACAGATGTTTCCCAGTTCTGAGATCAGAACTATTCACTCTAACTCTTGCTTTTCAATCTGCCAGACCCGAAATGCTTCCTCTGTAGAGGAGGGGATTGTTTCTATTTGCATGGCAAACCTACCAAGCAAACAAACAAATCCTACTGAAAGCTGGCTCTGGGCAAGACCTGTGGGGATGGGCTGAGGGTAGGGGCCTTAGAGATAGTACCTCATTCTTTCTTCAGACTTCACCTCCTCAAAGTTACTAAGTCAGGTTGCTATAATAGTGCCCCATGTTTTGATCAAATGTTTCAGATGTCCTGCATTTTAATTCATTCCTGTTTTAAATAGGCTAGACAGGGAAGAATCTCTATGTGTCCTGAGGGGGCTTGAATTCCAAAGTTTTCAAGATTCCACACTGGGGCAGAAGAAAGTAAGCTCTCTAATAGACTCAGTTTAACAAACATTTTAACCCTTCTATTATGTACAAACATTGTTCTAGGCACCGTGAGATGTGCAAAGATAAATAAAACACCATGGCCTCTGCCCCTGAGAAAAATAGTCACCCCCTCCTCCACCATATAGTTTGTAAGGCAAGAATGACTTTCCTGGCTATCTCTCAGAGGACACACATACCATTTTCCTTATATTTCATAGTCCTCATCCTATTAAGATTAGCCAGATGCCTTTAGCTGCTGTCAAGTACTAGGGAGAGAAGAGGGAAGAAATGTCTTATGATCTGACAGTTTCCTTCTGGCACTGTAACATGGTGGTTCCAAACCTTATATATTGCAAACACCCAATACATGTTACTGTACTAACACTGTGACAAATCAGTACCCACTATGTACTTCCTCTGCTCTTAGGTCATTACGTGCCTCTGAAAAGCTACTACCTATCTTGGCCTGGCTAATTTCAAGTTCTGGTACATCCCTCAATTGGTGTGCTTACTGCTATGCTCTTATACTTGTTGTTCTTTGAAATTACTCATTTCAAATTGAGATTTGAACAACCCTAGGTACAGGTGGCAATGTGCCAGGAGTAAATAAAGACACAGAATAAACATGGCACATCTTCCAACATGGTCAATTGAATGGTTAAAACCTAAGTATCTTAGATGAAAAATTTTAAATACTATTTTATAATAAATTTATCATGACTATCTTATCTGGGATAATGAAAACTCTGAATGCTCTTATCAAGATCACACACAAACTATTCAAAATGTCCTGTTTGCCTTAGGGTACTGTAGCCTTAGTCTGATCAGGAAAGCAAGATCCAAGATCTATATAATGGATGAGATTTAATATGGGATATTGGTTACACAGGAGTATTAGGATAGCAGAAAAGCCAAACAGGTTACATTTCACTATTTGAAGCAAATATTTGATGACCACTTACTATTCATAGGCACTCTTGGGAACATACTAGTAAGTTCAAGTGTTGACCATCTAATAACTGTTATACAGATAAAAATATACTAAAGTTAATATAACTGGAGTTAATTTTATGGAAAACTAGATTAATGGTGAAGCAGGTTCATATTGAATCAATTTCTTTGTAATTATATATAGAATGAGATTTCAGATAACATATTCTTATTAAATAGTTCTGCAAATGTTTGTTTTGCCTACCCATGGATTTTAAATATCTACATTTTCACTTGAGCCATATAACTTTTTGGACATAATAGCTGTTCAATGAATGTCTGGAAAATAAAACACATTGAAATGCAGGCTTTTATGAGTCCTTATTATATTTACCTCCAACTTTGCCATCTGTACACAGAAATCTTAGTTACTTGATTTTAAGGTAGCATGGTTTAGTTTTGGGATTCAAACTACATGTGGATGTGATGGGTTAATTGTAATCCAGCAGCACTGGATTACAATTAACATCCTATTTATAAGAAAAATTGTAGAAAAATATAACCTGCAGAAGTAGAGTCAAGGATTTAGCAGTCTGGGGCCATTTAATATAAGAACAATGGTACTGAAGGGTATCACTGAAGAAACAGGGCTATGAAATAAATGATAGTTTTAACAATGACCGTGAAACATCAATAAAAACTGTGAATGGTCCACATTATTTCCCATTTAATAAGGCTGGATAATATGTTGTTGTTGTTTTGTTTGTTTGTTTTTACTTTAAGATATGAAGGTTTTTTAAGAATGTAGTGACAAAAGGAACAATTTTTAATTAAATGGAAGGTTTGCCTATGTAGAGCATCTCATTTTCCCACAAAATCACATATATGAAATACCATTGTTACAATTTTGCCATTCACCTAACAAAGCAGAGAATTTGTATTCTAGTGAAAAGAAGAAATAGCATAGAAACATTCTTTCATGGCAGATCTGTGATTTTGTCACAAAGGAGGAAATAGGCAGCTGGCAGTACAGAAATCTCTTCCAGGAAGAACATTCTGCCAGTCTTGGGAAGAACGTCCTTCCGTGTTGAAAGAAGTATTCTGTTCTTTATACTGTTTCCTAGAATAGCTAGGAAACAGTTCTTGTAGCTTTTCTAGGAAACAGTATACAAGAACTATAATGTATACTGTTCTAGCTGTTTCCTAGACAGCAGGTGACCAGGGGGTATGGAGTGGTTGCACAAGAGAAGATGCTAAATGAGACTGAGTGACAATAGACTTGTTAGTCTTACCAATGGTCTCAGCTAGTTCTCTATTCTACGTCTGCCTGGAAAGTGCTACTTACACACAGTAAGGGAACTTAAAAAGGTACTAAGTTGATAGGCTCAAAAACACACATACATACACTCCTCTAATGTCTTGCTCACCTTCACTAGAACTGTTTTCAGGAGCCAAGGATCATGGCAATGTCATAAACAGAGAGCGTAACTGGAGATAACATATTGGGTTTCTACTGCTGCATAACAAATTAACACAAACTTAGTGGCTTAAAATAATACAAATGTATTATCTTTGGGTTGTGGGTCAACTCCAGACAGGCTTGGCTGGGTTTACTGCTGGAGCCTCTCAGGAAGAATCCACTTCTAAACTCATTCAGATTGTTGCTGGAAGTTATTTCCCTGTGGCTATAGAATGAAGGTCCCTGTTTCCTCACTGGCTGCCAGCCAAAGTCCATTCTCTACTCATTCCACCTGCTTTTTTTCCCATGTGATCCCTTCCAAGTTAAAAACAGTGACACTTTAGGTCCTTCTCACACTTTGAATCTCTCTGTCTTCCTATTCTGCCATGCAGGAGAAAGCGCTCTTGTTTTAAGGGCTCATGTTATTATTTGGGCCCACCTTGAAAATCTTGGATAGTCTATCTTAGGGTCAACCATGCCACATAACATAGTATATTCAATAAAGTGCAATCTGACCATACACATAGTTTCCTGGGCTAAGGGCAGTATGCATCTTTGGAAGGCCATTTTAGAAATTTCACCAATGCTTTGGCATTTCAGTATTAAACTTCCATAAAAGATACAGATATGTTTAATTTTACTGTATGACAAAGAATAATATTTAAAGGTGTTTTTAATTGTTGTTTTTTTTTTTTTTTTTTTTTTTTTTTTTTTTTTTTTTTTTTTTTTTGTAATGAAGCAGAGGAAATGGAGAGAGAAGAGAAAGGAGAGAAAATTAAGGGAGTAAGAATCAAGTTTCTTCTGAAATAAAGGTAAGGAACATAAAATATGTCTTTCTGGGATTCCAGATAAAGGATAAAATATATAAGTAAGACTCCTGTAGAGAACTGTCAGTTTAAAAAGCTAGACTGAACTTATGTTTATCTCTGTGCCCTCTCCCTCTACACTCCACTGAAATTACTTAAAAGAAAAAAAATTTTTAGGATGTCCCTGGAACCACAGTGGAGGGGACGGCCATCTTGCCAGCGCAACCCAACGGAAAGCCCCAAGCGGCACTCGCGACCTGGCGCGAAAAAAGGCCCGCCCCCAAATGCTGCAGCTTAAAAACCCCACTCCACCACACCTGGGCGCGACTTCCCTGACTCCTCTCTCTCTCTCCCTGAGTCACGGAACCTCGCCAGAGACCTTAGTTCCCAATAAAGCCTTTGACTGCTAAAATTTTTTAGCTTCTGACTCTTATCTTTACCCTGCCCTACGCCTGACTTTAACAAAAATAAATAAAAATGGTGCAAAACATGGGCATAAACGGTGTAAACTAACAAATACAAAGAAGGCAAGGGAGAAGTATTGACAACAGAGGTCAATAAAGTTTTGGAAGATGGAAAACAGGTTCATGAAATTGACTTAGCCAAGCAGACAAAATTTAAATCCAGATGCCACTAGAAGAGGATAAAGACCAGGAGAGGCCAATTCACTGTATATTATTTAATTAAAAAATAGAGAGCACTCCATTTCTCTCCCACCATAAGAAGTTGATTGCTTTTTGAAAGCTGGTAGTACTCCCCTTGAAAACTAAATGCCCAGCATGGTCTCAATTTGTTGAAATGCATACAAACCCATTAAGTTAACAAGAGTGAACCTCTCAACATTCTTGGTGCTTTTCACTGAAAGGCAAGTGTCCCTATACTGATTCTTCTGTCTCAAGGTCAGTTCATTAGCTTGTCAATGGCTCTCCAGTGAGTTCAATGGAAGTACCAACTGACACTGATCAAAGTTGAAAGAAACAGGGCTGGCCTGAGGCTTCCACAAGGCTTCAGGGTTGTTTAGCATATTGTGCAATTCTTAGGACCAGGGGAAACCTTGTTAATTTTCATTCAGTCCCTTAGGACAAGGCATTTCTCATTGTGCAGAGATTTATTCAGATATACCCAAGAAGCAGCTTTTCCTTATCTTCAGAAGATTTGCTTTTTACCTTATGTTTGGAAACTCTCTCTTAAAATACCAGAGGGACAGAGAGAGATGGAGAAATGGAACACATCCCAACAGAAAATCGATACTATAATATACATGTTCAGCCGTTTCTTATTAAATCAGAAATATCGGAGTCAAAAGTGAAAACATAATGGCTATGATGGATGGTGGGCCATAAAGGTGATCTCTGAAGCTGTCTCGCTTCTCCATAACAGAATGATATCCCCCACATAGATGTGTGTGTACCTGAACTTGTGCTGGTTCCACTTTCTTGGCTGGGCTTCCTCTGCTATACCTCCATTGCTTCTACTCTGACTTTTTTCTCTCCTTCTAGTTAAAGGTTCAATATTCACTGAGTCTTTTTTTATACATAATACAAAAATCAGTTGTTTGGGGATGATGACCTGTTAGAAAAGCTGAGAATTGTAAAATCTAAATAGAATTAAGCAGTGGACTGGACTTTTTCCTCTCTAGTCACCTACATATAATATATTTGTTAGAACTTGGTGGGATCTAAATGAAATTGGGCTAAAGGAAAAATGATTAAACATAAGCTAAGATGCATGGGCAATTTTTTTTTCAGATTACCATGCATTATGTTATAATGACATTGATAACATGGTGAAGGTTTGGTGGTTGGTAAAAATATCCAAGATTTAATAGATTCTGAACAATCACTTAACTAAGAGTATCTTTTAATTCTATAACAATTCATAAAGCCCTTCAAGTTTTCTTTTCATATGTCCCATATATATTAATTTGCTGTCCAGAAGAGGAACAACCATTTATACTGTAAGTCAGGTGAAATATGATACAAAAGGCAATCAATGTATTAGTTAGATATGCCTAATGATGTGATGGTGTCTCTTTTTTGTTTTTGTTCTTATTTTATAGCAAATCCCACATCCACTGAAGATGATATGTGGAAGTAACTAACATCCCTTAAATATCAATTGTTTATTTATTAGCACTACCATAAATAAGACGAAAAAGCAGTAATAACAGAGTAATCTAAAAGAATACGAATGTTCTAAAATCTCATTGAATAATAAAAATCAGAATCTAAATAATTTTATCTATTTCAGGGACCTAATATCAACTGAATTTGTGCATGGGTTTGAGCTTATTTTTCCAGTGATGGTGTCAAGCTTATAGGGAATATCTATGTTGCTCACCTCTAACCCTCTATAACCAGCAGCAGTCATTTGTGAGATGGTTATTATTATCTATATTTCTTAAGCATTACAACAAGTTCATCATGTCTCTCAGTCTAGGGTATCATTTTTGGTTCTTTTGCATCTGCTAAAAACTGGAGCTTGGGACTCTAAAAGCCTTGACCCTGTGACAGATATCTTAGATGCACTTGGGCTGGTCACTTTATCCTTTAACTAACAGAAACTATAACATTGAGAGTAATTTACACTTGTTTTCCCTTATTGTGCACTTCCCATGCTTCTTCATTTACTAAGCTCAGAAAAAGATTCAGGTATATTTATGTCTGAAATGTCTGTTGAATAGAAATCTGGTGGAGGACTCCAAAATAAAAGCATTTAGAGTAAGTATAACATAGCACAAAGGATGTTGCAGATCTTACACAGCTCTGTGTCATAAACATAGTTGACAACAGTGATATTCCTGCCTCATACAATTTAACAAAGGCATCCTTTTCATGGCTTTATAATCCTAGGTTAAATAAGACCCAATCAGGGTCACTGAATTAGCCTAGTAAACTCCTAGTCATCCTTCAAAACTTTCCTAAATAGAAGTCTTTTCCCCAGTCCCTATAAGAATTATCATCACCCTCCTCAGGATTCAAGTTTTAGCTTATAGCTCTTTGGAATTATGATAGGTAGCGCTTTTGTCCCTCAAGGCAAAGATCGTATCTGTTTCACCTTAGCAATCCAGGAATCCAGCCTACTACTTAAATTCATTACATGTACATTCTTTCAATAAATGAATGAACAAATGAACTGAAAACAGTTGTTTTAGAAAAATTTCTTCCTTCAGGTTTTTCACTTTAAGGTACTGAAATATAACATCTTCAACAATCCAAAATATAGAATACTCATAAGAACACAGACTTAATTTAAAAAAGTCTTAATTGAGAATTTATGTCTATAAATGACTCTGAGTTTTTGTTCTTATCTTCAGAAGCAAACAGATTATGTGACTCAGTGGAAGTAGATTAACATTTGCAATACACACGCTAGATCAGCCCTTGTTTAGATGTTTTTACAATTAGTACTTACCCATAGCCAGTGATTCCCTTTGACTGAGTTACCAGTAAGGCACCAATAGTTGTATTCAGAACATTCTCTAGTACTCCAGTTTGTTGAGCAGTGATAATCTGGTGAGCCAAATTCTGTAATTTCTTACTTGATAAAGATGAAATCAGTCCAGTGCTCCTTATTGTTGCCAGGTCACCAATTTCAATGACTACTACTTTTGAGATGGTTTCCATAGTAGTTGGTGGCGGAATCCTATATGAGCTCGTTTTCATCATGAGAGGTCTACGTTGACCAACTCTGTAATGACTGGCACAAGTCACAGTTGGGCAATTGAGCTTTCTCTTTGCTTTATTGTCAGCAATGGCCTTTAAGGTTGCTTCACTGCCAGGCATCTCATGAATAAATCTGATTTGGTTTTGGCTAACTTGCAAGAAGTCAGTTAGTCTTTCAAGGATGAGGATTTCCCAGCCTTTTTCTAGGACTGGAAATATCACAGTGAAGGCCAAATGAATGGAAACACCTGAGCGTATTTCAATAGGCTCTTGTCCTTGTAGGACAACATACAAGAGGTTATCCAATATGCTGAAATAGTTGGAACCAGAAGACTCATCCAGCAATGAGGAAGTTGATTGAACCAGAACAGGTGGAATGAAACTTTCCCCTATGAAAACACGGGGACTCTGGAGTTCATGGTAGAATATAGCTAAGAGAAGCTTGGAGGTATTTTTGTTCCCCGACAGAAGAAAACGCAAAACTTGGGGAGTCTGATCCACAAAGCACACCTTGGTGATTTCCCTGATGGGTAAAATGGAATAGAAACTAGATACAGACCCTAAAGTAGAACAAGGGGTATTGGCATTTACACTACTAAAGGTGTCAACAAAACCATTAGTAACAGATACAACTGGATATAACTTCTGCATTGTCCAAGTGGCATCAGCATTGTCAAGAATTAAGATCACCTGGTCAGTTTGTTTGCAGATGTAGCCTAGTATGAAGGGTTGGTACGTGCATTTCTGTTCTTCTCTAAATGTACCTATAAAATAAAGGAAAATAAGTGATGTATAAACTACAATCTCTCAAAGATAATTTGTAATCCATTACTCTTATTATCATCTGTAACCTCATGAAACATTTATTGAACTTTTAAGTGTGTTAGATACTGACTATGCAAAGCAGTCTGGGTAAAATATGAAAGGGTAAAATATGTTACATCACCTGTATTATTTAAAGGTAATAATGGACATAATAGCTAGGTGAAAAAAGAATTAAATAAGTAAAATTATTAAGGAAAAGGAATAATCACTAAGGCCTCCATAGTGGGAAAAGGATAGGGGAGATGGGCATAGTAATATTTGAGTCAATGAAAAAAGAGGTAGATTGAGGGGGCTGGAAAAGAGATTTTATAGAGATATATTAAAATTGAAGAGATATACTGAGTCCAGATTGTGAAAGAGTTTGGATTTCAGACTATATAATTTTCTCATTCTCTTTTTTTCCAAACATGAAGAGTAAAAACAATACAAAAGGAAAAGAAGAAAGTAGCAATTTGGGAGTCCTGACATTAAATAGAGCCCAAGTTGAGTATTATTGGGGCTAATCAAGACATTTAGACAAACAGCGTTGTCCATTATTCCCATAATTCCTTTCATTTTTTTTAAAAGTAGACTCCATGCCTAACATGGGACTCGAACTCACAACCCCAAGATTGAGTTGTATGCTCTACTGACTGAGCCAGCCAGTCACCCCATATTCTCACCATTCCTAATCCACTTGTCTCTGAACCATGAGTAATTCTTATTCTGAATTTACAGGGATAGTTTAACTTCTAACAAACGGAATTCCTTCAATTTAAAAGCAATATTCACAAAATTATCTTGTGTTATTTTCAAGATATTTTAATTTTCCTTCAAGTGCAATGTCATCAATTTAGCCTAAGGATTGGAACAAAAAAAATCTAATTATTATTAATGGAGGGTGTACTACATTTGGGCATGATACCTCCTCCATATCATACCTTCCATATGATATGTGCCAAAGCTGCCTATGATATTAATAAATTTAATTACCTAAGTGTTGCTTTAGGAGTAGGCCACATTGCATACTTGTGCCTCAACAATAATAGCAACAGTAGTAAAAAATATGAGTCAATATTTCAAACTGAATAATAATGAAATTATAGCATATCAAAATTTGTGTGATTAAGTGCTTATATTACAAAAGAATTGTGTAAAAGCAATATCTTAATGCTCTGCCTTACAAATACAAATTTAGCAAACAAGTAAAGCAAATCCAGAGTAATGAGGAGAAAGGAAATAATAAATATAACAACAGAAGTCAGTGAAATAGAAAAGAGAGAAACAAAGAAACAAAAACATAGAAAGTAAGCAAAGCTAAAATTTGGTTCTTGAAAAACATCAACAAATTAGTTAACCACCACCCCCCCCCCCCCCCCCCCGCTAGACTGATCAAGATAAGAAAGAAGGGTGCCTGGGTAGCTCAGTCAGTCAAGAGTCCAACTCTTGATTTTGGCTCAGGCCATGATCACACAGTTCATGAGATCAAGCCCTGTGTTGACTCTGCATTGACAGCAAGGAGTCTGCTTAGAATTCTCTCTGTGCCGCTCCCCTGCTTACACTTGCTTTCTCTCTCTCTCTCTCTCTCTCTCTCTCTCTCTGAAAATAAACAAATAAACTTTAAAAAAAAGATAAAAGAAATCATAAATCACCAATTTCAGGGAGGAAAGGATTATTACTACAGACCCTACAGACAAAGGTTTAACTATTACAAACTTCATGCCAACAAATTCAGCAACTAAGAGGAAACAGACAAATAGAAAACAGACACATGATAAAACAGAAAATTCAAATTGCTCTAATTTTCTTAAGTAAACTGAGTTTACTAAATTGACTACTAAGTTATTAATTTAGAGATTTAATTATCAAATATAAAAGAATGGTCACTTTTACATAATATGTTTTCTCCCTGTGGTCATATAATATGGAAACAATAATGTTAAATCACGAGTTGTTTTCAAATGCATCACACCAGTCTGAAGGGAATTAATTGCTTGATCTTAACAGACATGGAAATTGTGCCCTGAGATTCTGATACAACGGTCTCTACTATAGATACATCATTTTCAAATAAGATAGTTAGGTAGACTTCCCTCATGAAAAACCCTTCAATCACACTAGTTCCCCTTTTCTAGACTTTACAAATTTTTTTCCTTCTTTTAACAATTTTTTTCCAGTCATGTTGATTCCTGTTGATTAATCATTCACCTTTCCATTCAGTTTTATAGATCTCTGATTTTGTTCTCCCTTCTTTTGATTCAGGAGATATATTGTCTTTTAAAGTCATCTCTACAGATCGCTAAATTTTTGGAAGTGTCCCTAAATAAAATAATCACTCTCTTAGTTGAAATGATTCTCAATCATTCTCTGCTATTAGCTATATGTAGTTTGATAAATTATATAGACTTAGTAGGCATCAGTGTCCTTAAGGCATTATTTCTCAAGACCAGGGACTATATCTCCTATTTAAATTACCACAGGGCTTAACACCCTAACTCAAACACAGTAGATGCTTCTTAATATGTATTAGTTGATTGATGTGTAAGAACTCTTATTTTTCAAATATGTTTTATCTATTCTTGCCAGGTATCTAGTTATAAGATTATTAGTCTATAGCTTGAATA